GAGAGCATTTTGGTCAAAGTAAATTCACGTATATTATCTTATTGAGAAGATAATCATATTTTTATTAAGAAGTAAAACACGTATAAATTATCTTATTGAGAAGATAATTATAGTTCGTCAGTTATAAATCTTATACATATTATCTTATTCAGAAAATAGTTAGTCAAATAGCCTCTACAGATATAAAAGTAAATAATTACCATGAACACAGTCACTATTACCATTTTAAAATAATTACATACGCATAATCTTAAAACGGTAACAATATATTTAAAATTATTTATTTATTTTTATAATTATAATTAGCATAAAAAGTAATAGCAAATATATTTTTTATTTATAATTTAATAAGAAATTACTAAAAATTTATAAAGATTTGATATTATATTTTTTAAGATGATAAAAACAAAATTTTCTAAGATCACAAATATATTAATATAGTAATATTTTATGAAATCACATGCTAAAGATAATGAATTGGAGAGTTATCCTAATTAAAGTGCTATAAAAAATTATTTAAAAAATATTTTTTATAAGCAAATATGAAAATAATATTTATAATTTAAAAAAATTTTTAATTAATATTTATTAAATAAATACCAATTAAAAAAAATTTAATTTTGATAAATTTTATGATAAAATATAGTAAAATATAATAAAAATATTATTTTTATTCTATTTTATTATGAAATTTATCAAAATTAAATCTTTTTTTTAATTGATATTTATTTAATAAATATCAATTAAAAATTTTTTTAAGTTATAAATATATTTTCTATATTTTTAAATATATTTCAATAAAATTATTTTCATACTTGCTTATAAAAAATATTTTTAAATAATTTTTTATAATATTTTAATCAGGATAGCTTTCCAGTTCATCATCTTTAACACATAATTTTACAAAATATTACTATATTAACATGCTTTATGATCTTAGAAAATTTATTTTCATCATCTTAAAGAATATAATACCAAATTTTCATAAATTTTTAGCAATTTCTTATTAAATTATAGATAAAAAACATATTCATTATTACTTTTTATACCAGCTATAAATTTAAAAAAACTTTTTAAATATTAAAAAATAAAAAATATACTAAATATAAAAAAATATTTAATATTTATAAAAATATTCAGAATTCTTATAAATTAATTTATGATTTCAATAAAAAAAATTCTGATTAATTCAAATTTATTAATAAAATAATCTTAAATAATATATTATTTTATATTAATCAATATTAATATTATTTATGAATCATAAAATAATTTTTCAAAAAATATTTATTTTTATAAAAATATTAAAGTAAAATATAAATAAATACAAATATAAAAATAATAAAAATAATTATTAGTTAAAAAATACATAAATAATTTATAATTTATAAATTTATATAAAATATATAAGAAATTTATAAATTATATAACTTATTAATAAAATTAAAAAACTTTTATATAATAAAAAACAAATATTTTACTAATTACAATTAGTAAAAAATTTAAGTATTGCATCATTTTTGATTACTATTATATATAAAATAATATCAATATCTTTATTATAAAAAATACAAGAAAAATTAATATTATTAATATTTAATTAATTATAATAAATATAATAAAAAATATATAAGCTATTCAATATTATATCAAAATACTAATTTTTATTATATATTAATTGATCAATAAAAGTTATTATTTTAATGAATAAAAATTTTAAATTATTAAACTTCTTAAAAAAATAAAATAAAAAATCTTCTATAAAATAATAATTTTATTAAGAGTCATTAATCTGTAAAAGCTTTTTTATTTTATTTTTTCTTTTAAAGTTAGCAAGTAACCGTCTTATGTTATCATCCACTATATAAATTATTTACAATATTATCATTTGGTAAGTAAAAGTTAATATTAGAAAGGAAGACAAATGTTAAAGATAAGAGAAAGAGCAAACAAAGCTTACAAAAAACACGTCTGTATTATGTGGTTAATTGTGATTGCCAATTTTTCGAATCATGTGATGCATGCAATTAGACCAATAGATTATAGATGTTAAAATCATGAACATAGTAGCAGCGTTGCTATAAAAGCAAGTTCTTCTAGCATCGAAGTCTCATTAACAAGGTTGTGCTAAGTTCCACACAGTGGCTTCCCCAAAACTTCACACAATCGAGCACAGGTACCTTTGAAGAAACGTAAATCCATGCAAGAATAGTTGACTCCCCACCGCTAAGATGAAGAGTGGCCAGGGGTGCACTCGATCATAATTCGTCGGCACTGCTGAGAATTGCGCCGCGTGATAGCATTGACGAATGACCAAGACCTCACCCAGAATAACACTCTGAAAGTCACTATCTTCACTATGGACTCCGGCAAAAATTAAAAAACGTGTCACCAACAATCGTCGATGATGACTTGCGTTGGTCGTTGGTTTTACCTTTTATTCGTTAGTTTCTTCATGAATATGATTTAACAATGGAAATCAAGCAATGTATATAAACACAATAATAAAACAATGAAACCTGAGTTTTTCCTGGAATACTATAAGTTTTTCAGAAGAAAGCACTTGGCTGCGTTAGATGCTTTAATGAATGATCAAGAGGAAAATGAGTCTTGAGTTCGAGATAATCTATCTCTGACTATGGGTGTTCTCATCTGCCCCGTAACGTTTCTGGATGTCTCACGCGCAAGCTATGTATAATGATATTTGTATAAGTAAACTGTTATTTTTCTAATTGTAACTTGTTCAAGGACAGGAATCCAAGGGGCAAAGAATGGCTATTATTATTATGTTTTCCTCCTCAAAATAACCCAGCAAAGCAACAGCCACTTATCTTAAGAAGTATAACGTAATAAATAGAATTGAGCGAGGCAATTATTGTAACAATTGGTTAGGTGCTTATATTAAAAATAATGTAAATTATTCTTCCATAAATCGAACTTACTTATGATGAGTTTTACTAAAGAATGTTAGTTATTTAATAGTACTGAAAAAATATTAATGATCCATTATCAACTTTATATTTCATAGATTATAACTCTCCAGTTAATTACGTGCATCTAATATCGTTCCCTTTATTAGAGGGCAGACCTGTATATTGCAAACACACTAATAATAATAATCTACAAATATTTACAAAACAGGACACGAACTACTGCAACAATAATTATTTCGCATTTGTAAACCTTTGCTGTTCATATTTCACTTTCTAAATAAAATTCTATGGTTTAGACTAAAAGTCTGCTGCAAGTGTATATATATATTAATTAAATTATTAGAGACAAATAAGAAACAGACGCATAAACAAATTGTATATAATAATAATAACTAGCAACAGCAATAAATGATAAAGTTCAATTAATTAATTGATTATTGATACCCCAATCTTTTTCGCTTCTCTTCCGATATCAGATTCACAAATGCTGGCAGCACTTCAGGATCAGTAGCATTGTGCAGTCGACAAAATTCTTCCGCTAACATTTCCGGTTCATCATTTATGTGTACTTGGATTGCATGATTTTTGTTATCATCAAGCTCAACATTGATAGTAAGCAGCAATTGACCACGATTCCGGGTAACAAATCGAGATGACGTCTCTTTTTGCAAATCAGAAGTAGTAGAGGTATTCGAGGTAACGGATTGATGTGCTGATATCTTTTTTTGAGAAGCAGCAGTATTTTGTTCTTGCATATTTTTATTATTATTGTTGTTATATGCTCCTTGCGTATGATACTCTTGTTGTTCTTCGTATTCCGGTTGTTCATCTTCATATTCCTCGTCCTCATCGTCATAATCTTCTTCTGATTCATCATCATCTTCTTCTTCTTCAGTTTCTTCATTATCATGATCATATTCGCTTTCATTTTTTTCTTCATCTTCGTCATTCCTCCCATTATTATTAATTGATGATGATTGGTAAACTGATTGATTTTGATTTTCGTAAGGTCTCAAATCAAATCCAGCTGCCAGAGCATTAGCATTAGTATAACCTTGATATGTATTATTGCTTTTTTTGCCGCTGTTGTTCGGTTGGGGAGATCTTACTCTGCCAGGTGATCGACCTGTAGAACGAGCAGGTGATAAATCTCGATTTTGATTTGTTTGTAAATGATGCTGAAGAGGTGGTACTGTGGACGATGATAGCTGATGTTGTTGTTGGTGTTGGTATTGATTATTTTGATAGGACGGCTGCAAGGATGGTGGCTGAGGAGGTGGGTTAGAATTTGATACATTCCAATTATTATAATTATCATATGCTGGCAATTGTGATTGTGGTAGTTGAGGCGGCTGAGATGGTGGTGTCATTTGTTGTGGTTGATTTTGAGTCTCCCTGAATGGTTCACTGGGAGGATGACTTGGTGCTACTGTCCAAGCATTGTCCAAAGGAGGTCGATTTGAAGATGGATGCTGTATATTTTGTGATTGTTGCTGTTGTTGTTGCGGATGAATTGTATATTTACTCATTTGGTGTGGAGGATAAGGTTGTGGAGTCTGTTGAGTTTGGTTATCGAAAGGATTTACAGGGAGAAAATTCGACCCTTGTTGAGGCAACGAGGTACCAAAGCCACTTGGTCGATCGTTCTGCTTAATATCATTATTCTTTTGGATCGAGGCGTTGTCGTTATTATCCTTAAAACTTTTATTTTCTTTCGACTGACTTGCGAGATCTTTTTGCTGTAGCTTGTTTTTTGTCGTAGACTTACTTGAGATTGCAGACTCACGTCTGCTCCTTGATCTTGGATTTGTGCCCTTACTACCTTTTTTATTTGGTCCTTTTCTCTGAATCCTCAGCACTTCTTCTTCAGAAACGGGCTTATAATTGTGTCCTTTACGATGCAGATTCCCGGTGCCCAACCCATCTTTGGACTTGGCATCCGGAATAGCCAACGTATGCCAAGCCGAAATTCTGACATCGACTGTATCTTTTCCTATTACTGTTGTGGTTGGAGCAGCTGTTGTTGTAGTATTTTGTGATTGAGAAATCACCGGTTGAGCATCATTATTAATAGGTTTTTGAAATTGAGTGTGCTGTGCCTGCGAAGGACTAACATTTTGGTGGTATTGTTGATTCTGTTGAGGAGGTTGCTGTAGAGGTGCTACTTGTTGTGGTTGATTGTATATTGGCTGTTGTGGTTGTGGTTGATATGCATTATGATCTTTATGAGGTGTAGTATTAGGATTATATATCCCTTCTCCAGTTCCGCCTGTTGGTTGTTGTCCCTTATTTTGTCCTGCTGGCTGCATCCAATTTTGCATAGGTGATATGCTATTTCGTTTTGCTAGCGATGGCAGTTGATTTGTATTGTTACTACTAATATTATTATTATTATTATTGTTCATGGGATCGTCATTACCACCACCTACATTGTTAAAGTTACCATTTCCATTATCGTTACCAGCACTATTATTCTGCTTTTGTGGTGGTGGTGTTAAGTTCACAACAGGTCGTTTTCCAGCATTAGCACCACTACCAGCATTACTCTTGGCTTGTTTTGACGCAGCAGACCAGTTTGGTCCAAGGATTCCGCCTTGGTTCGTGACAGCAATGGCATTAAACGCGCTCATGATTGATTCTAAATTATTTTTCGAACTTATGCCCGCACTTGCACCTTGTTTTTTGCTACTAGAATTTTGCATGACTAATGGATAGTGAAGAGATGTCGTTTGATGAAAATACAGATTTCGCGAAGCGTGAAAAACAAAGTTGCGTTTTGTAAAGGTCGCATCCCATCTTTTGTGAATGTTTTAATTTCTTATCCATAATTATTATCTTGTTTAGTATAAATTTTTAAGATAGTATATAAATTTTATATAATATAATATTTGAATAATTCAGATTTTACTAGGCAGTAATTTATTTATTATATATAAAAAATATGTAAACTATCATTTTTATATTTAATTCTTTCTTCTTGTTTTCTATTTTTAGTATATATTTATATTTTAGTATATATAATAAGATATAAATTATATTATAAAAAAATATTATATAATAAATATATAATATTATAGATTAGAATTTTAAATTTTAAATATTAATTTATATTAATATTGATATCAGCAAGATATATTTAATTAAAAATAAAATTTGATAGGAATATTAATAGAATATAATATTTTTAATTAATATATACAAGAGAAATTATATATAAGAAAATCTATTTTGTAATTATTATTATTAATAAAGAGAGATAAATATTAATAGGATGAATATTAAAGAGGATTTACTATATTAAAATAATATTATTTTGAAATTATATATAAAAAATTATATTTATTTAAATATTAATTTTCTTTTTAAAATTTCTTATATATCTAATAATAATAATTATTAAAATAAATTTAAAAAAATATATTAATATATATAAATATTTATACTTATTTATATTATTTAATAATCTTTTAATAAAATTTAAAAATTTTAATAAAATTTAAATAATATTATATAAATAAGAAATATTTATTTAAAAAAATAAAATAACTTTAATAGATTATTAAAATAATTAAATTAAAATCTGTTTTATATAATAAATATTTATTATTTACTTTAAAATAAAAAATATTATTATTATATATATTAAAAATATTATTAATTATAAATATTAAAAATTATATTAAAGTATATTAATATAAAAATAAAAAAGAATAATAAATTAATATTTATATTAATTATATAATTATTTAAGAAAATTAATATTAATTTTATTAAATTATTATTATTAACTAAAAATAATAATTAATATATTATTATTATTATATAAAATAAATTAAAATTATAATTTTATTTTTTATAAAATTATTATTTATAAATATAAATTTTCAAAAAAAATATATTAAATTAAAAAATTACTTTTATTAATTATATAATTACTAAATTATTAAATAAATATTAAATTAAATATTAATTATCTATATTATATTATTTTTCAATAAATAAATTAATAAATTATTTATATAGAATAATTTATATAATATTAATAAATTATATTTAGTTATATAACTAAAATTAAAATTATTAGCTTATAAATATTTTATTTATCTATAGAATAATAAGACAAAATATTATATAATTTAAATATTCTATTTAATAAATAATTATTAAATAATTATATTTAATCAGTATTATTAAATTATTAATAAATAATATTAAAAGAATAAATTATTTAAAAAGCTTATTATATAATTAATTAATTAATTAAAAATTAATCAAAAAATAAATTTATAAAATATTTAAAAAATATATATAAAATAAAAAAATAATATAGTTATTTAAGAATTTAAAATAAATAATAAAAATGCTAATAAAATAAATAGAAATTTAATATTAATATTTAATAAAAATAAAAAGAATTATACTTTATTTATAATAAATTTAATAAAAAAATTTATAAATTATATATTTTTAATAATAAAATTTTAAAAAATTCTTATAATAAAGATTATTTAAAGCTTTATATTAAGATTAATAATTTAAAATTTATTATTATATAAGTTTTATAAAGTAAAATTCTTAAATAAGAAGTTTTATTACTATTTTATTTTATCTTATAATCTTAATTATATCATTTTATTTTATTTTATTATTCTCTAAATTCTTTATTTTTTTTCTTATTTTTTTTAATTTTTTTTATTATTTTTTATTATTAATTTCTTATTAATTTCATATTAATTATTATTTATTTATATAATTATTTTTATTTTTATTTATTTATAATTTTTATCTTCTAAAATATAATATTAATTATTCAAATTATTTTTTATATTATATTTTTAATTATTTAAATTATTTTTATTTATTTATAATTTTTATTTTTTAAAATATAATATTAATTATTCAAATTATTTCTTATATTATATTTTTAATTATTTAAATATATATTTTATTTCTTAAATTACTATTAATATTCTAAATTATATATAATAAAATATTAATTTAAATAATATTAAATAAAAATTAAATAATATTTTATATAAATATAAATTAATATAATATAATTTATTATAAAAGAAATCTCTATAATTAATAATTAAATAAGTAATTAAAAGATAATTCAAGAAATAAAATAATTTTTAAAAAGTTAATTAATATTTTTAATATAAATTTATCTTTCTTGTTATTTTTAATTTACTTTATATTTGTTTTTTAACTTATTTAACTAATAAAAATTATTTTTTTATCTTTTTATATTATTATTATTTATATTTTATAATTATAATTACTTATTTAACTAGTAAAAATATTATAATTTTACTTATATATACTTATTATATATAATTAAATCTTTTATAGTTATTATACTTGAAAAATAAAATTAAATAATTAAATAAAAATATGACTATAAAGAGATTTTTTTAATTATATTAATAACTAAAAAACTTAAAAAAAATAACTATAAAGAATATAATTATAAAAAAACTTACTGTATTTTATTAATATTAATAAAAAAAATAAAAAATCAAAATATTAAAATTATATTTTATTATTTTATTAATAGATTTACAAATTCTATTACTATTTTCTTTTTATTTATTTTCTTAAAGGTATTTTACTTATAAATATTATCTAATTTATAATAATTAATATAAATATTCAAAATATTAATCTAATATATAAAATATTATATAATATTATTAATTTTAAACTAATATATATATAAAATTAATATTATTTATTTAATAATAAATATAATAATATAAATATTTTTGCTATTAGTTTTTGTATTTATTAGTAAAAAAATAAAAAAATTATTATTTATTTTTAAGTAAAAAATATAAAGAATGATAATAAATTAAATTTAGACAAATAATATATGAAAATTTGCAGAAATTATATGAATAACAAATTTTTTTAAGTTTATAATATATAATATAATTAAATTAAAAAATTATTAAGTATTATATTACTTTTCAGATCTGAAAGATTTTTAATTCTTATAATTAAATAATATTATATTTTTAATTAATTAATATAGATTAATAATATCATTATTATAATTAAAATAATTGAAAAACTTAAATAAAAAGATTTTAACTTAAAATTTCTATTTATATAATTTAATATATCTTAAAGAATTTTTGATTTAATATTTAATATTTATTATAAATTTTTCTTTTATAACTTTATCATATTTTAACTTATCTTAAATAAATATAGAAATATATTTGTTAAAATTGATCTTATATAATTTTTTTTGATAAAATAATTCTCTAAATATTCAGAAATATAAAATATTATTATAAAATATCATGACTAGAGATGCTATTTTAATTAATTATAACTTGCAATAATTAATCAGAAAATTATAATCAATTACAATAATTAATCAAAGAATTATGACTAAGTTATGATACTATCTTTAATTATGATTATATAAAAATATAATGAAATATTCTTATAAGATTCATACTTAAGATATTTTTAATATATAAGAATCAATTATACTTATCTTATTTACTAAAAAACTTTAATATTAAAAAATATTAAGAGATTCTTAAAATATATCTTTTTTTTATATTTTTATAGTAAATCATAAATTATATTTTTAATAAAATAATTCTTTAATTCATAATACAAATAAAATAATTAATCTTTTTTATTATTATGATATTTGAATTTTTAATTGATCTTTTTATTTGTTAAATATTAATTTTATTAAGAATTTGTGAATTATATTTAAGAAAAGATGAAAAAAGAATAAATTTATAATTAATCAAAAAAAACTTTTAATAATAGAATTTTAAATAATAATATAAAAGAAATAGATGAATTTGAGCAAAAATCTCTTTCTTTAATAAGTATGAAGAATTATATTTTTAGTAATAATTAAATAAAAAAAAATTAATTATTAAATTTTTATAAATAATTAATAATTATTTTTGAGAATATATATATAAAATTTTTGCATATATTAATAATAAAAATAAAATATCTTACTTGTTACAATAAATTTCAGATATTTATATTAATTACTATAACTTTCTTAATTAAATATAATTACTAATATTATTTTTATTATATTTTTAATTAATTAAATATTATATTTAATTTATTTTATTTATTTAATTAATAATAATAAGATATATTTTATATTATATTAATATATTATATTTTAAAAAAATAATATATACAGTGACAATCAAAAATAATGCAACACTTAAATTTTTTACTAATTATAATTAGTAAAATACATATTTTTCCTTACATATAAAAGTTTTTAATTTTACTA